CGGGTTTCACGTGAACACCTAGGTTGCTAGTGCAAACAATGATATGTGAAGAGGATAAAAAGAGAAAGACAAGATGCATGAACCAGAGTTACGAATGTTAGGTCAATGATATGTTTGTCATAATGTCATTATATATTATATGAGTAGGTTTATATTTTGTTGGGCTGTGGCTCTAATATTCTTTTGTTGTACAAGCTTGACACTTCTAATTGTTTTTAGTTAATTGTATCCTTCTAAGTGTCGTAACTATTTTGTCTTAAAGCTTAGATTATCAAACGGAGTAGAATTTATTTGTTTATATATAGGAAACGACTTCTTTGCATATTAATTTATATTTTCATCAATATCGTGGCACTTTAAATTTTTATATAATTTGGACAACAATGAAACTTAAATTATGGTCTTTATTTGCTTTATTACCTCGTTGAATCACGCATCTTAGGTTAGATTTTATAGACATTGAAATTTCACATGATGAATTTTTGATGGAGAAATGAATATTATCGACTCTTTCAATACTTAAAAACTCTAAAACGAAATAAGTAAAAATGCAAACAAGTCGCTTAGACTATGATTATTGTCCATGTTCGATGACATTTTTCTTTTGAGAAACCAATCACAAACTCATTAAATTAAACCACCGCAAACATTGATAGTTGCTACCGAAATCTATAATAATATGTGGTGATAAGTCAATGTTATTGTTTTTTTATTGTGGCCATCGTTTGAGGGCCGTACAAGTAAAGAAGTTGACGGTACCATTTGGATATTTTTATTTAAATGCAATATTTTAGTAATAAGAAGACTAGGTAATTATTTTATTTGTATTAGTTATAAAATGTAAAAATATGTGTACAATATATGAGTGCTAAGTGAGACGAGCAACTTGCCAACTCAGCTCACTTCTAAGGCGAGCTGCTTGCACGCGAGGCGAGCTGCTCACTTTTTTGGCGTTAAGCCCAGCTCGTCCTTCTCGCCTAGGTGAGCATTGTGCCATCAAATCTCAAATTTGAATTCAATTTTCTATTTTTTTTATGTAATTTAAATCTATAAATAAGAAGTGTTCGAAAATCAAATTCCATTACATTTCACTTTCAACGGTCCCTACAATCTCTCCAATATGTCATTCTCAGCTCTTTAGCAATATAATTTTGCAAATATCACTCCCCTGATTTTATAATTATCATTTATAATTTGTTCGGAGTTATTATTTCACTTTCTTGGTTTCATAAACTCTACTTCTATTTTTCTTGTTCATTACTATATGTAATTTATGGCTCTCTCAGGGGTCCCTCATCTGAGATCCCTCAGAAAGAGGATCAAGTTGGCCCTTGAAATGGTTTGCTCACCATCATTTTCTTGGAACGAAAATGATTTATTATGTTTCCTTGACAAATATTCAAAGATCGGGCAAAAAGATTGGTTGCGTTACAACTTTGATAAGATCAAAGAAGAATTAAAGTTATTCTTCCAAAATTACGAATGTTGTATTTCTTTAGCATTTGATGCTATGCATTATGTCGGCAATAATTTGTGAGTTTATCTAGTACCATTATATTTTGATGATGATAATTTAATTCTTGTGAAGAAACTATATTTGTTGTTAAACACATCCACCCAATGAACCCACTACTCAAGTTGCACAAATTATTGCAAATTTTACAAGATTTTACTTTGATAAATAAAACGTTTAGTTTATCTTGTAAAACATGCATGGTTAAAATTACTTTTTACGACATTTGCAGTTATTCTTTTCGTTCAGGTAAGGTGTTTGAACATACTCGTTAGGTTAAGTATACCTTTAGCCTCCTTACACTGCATGGATGAAGATTCTCAATTACTCTAGGAATATATATATATGGCAATGGAGAACACATTCCAAAATATTTTTTTATTTATGTACCAATTCTTTTTCCTAAGTACAATGTTGATTCCCGTCTCAAATTACATGGGACTGAGCATTATTTTCAGTTACTTCAAAATGATTTTAAGTGTTACTTCGAAACAAATGTAGCAGCGCTACAAGAACGAATTACAAAATTGCATAATTTGGTTTGAACAACATAGATTTAAGTTTTTTGAGTTAGTAACATATGAAACCAATATGTTTGGAGCACTAATATGGGACATGTCATTAGTAGGCCCAACTTCTTCAATATACTTCAATGATAGAATTCACAGCGATATCAATATCTGCTATTGTCCTGTATATCCCGAGACTCAATGATAGAATTCACAGCGATATCAATTGTCGACTTATTGTCCAGTATAGCCCGAGACTTGTTCATAGCATCGTTGACTTTATCAATACTTACTGACATAAGGTCTACCATAGGAGATCATATGTTAGATTGAGATGCATCGCATGACTTTGATAATATTACAAACTCGAATAGAAGTACATGTTTGTATGCACCAATGACACTAAGAAGACGAAGGTGACCTTCCGACATCTTTTCAGATGTGCAATTGTAGACCATTAAGGTATAATTGTAAGTATATTTCATTTTTTAATTGTAATAATATTGTATTTTTTTTATTTCAAAAAATTGTACACGAAACATGCATCCATGTATAGTTTTAACTCTGTCTACTTATTATAGTTGATCTCACGTACAGATAAATGAAGAGGTTTTTTTATAATTTTATAATGCTTTTGATGAAATATAATTTTTATGTTCCTTACCATTAGATAATTATGTTGATGATATATAATTTTCTTACGTCTTCATTAGATTTCGAGGACTAATAGTGACAATTTTTATTTTGAATTAAAAAAAAAAACTAAACAAGCAGCACGAGATGCTGAGTCCCACATCCATTTAGCAAGTTAGATCGCTTTCAACTTGCCTTACATACAAAAGCAAGCTGCTTCGCATAGTGGATCGAGTCGAGCCTATCGTTGGACGAGCCGAATAATTCGATTTGACCCATTTAACATGTCTAGCACAATGAGGAAGTGTTAATAAACAAATAATGAGTTGAGTAACTAAAAATAATAATTAAACAACCTCAAATAATAGTAAGACCTGTATGTAAACTCTCACAGTATCTGAAAGGTTAAGGTGAGCTATATGATATAAGTTTGTGTCCTTATCAAGCAGACAGTCACAAATTAACTGTTAATTAAGGAAATATGTGGCCATCTAACCTTACCAGGAGACACATTTATTAATATTATCAATCTAGTTGATGCATATTTTATCCAATGTCACATTGACTTATAAGTAGCCAGCCATATTTTGAATTCTTTCTAAATATACAAAACCATGACTTCTGGATTTTAACTATCAACCATGACTTCTGGACTTTAGCTAGCTTTTAAGTATCTTAAAAGTTTTTGTTTATGAAAGTATGTTTCTTCGTAATTTCTTTTTAAAAAAATACTTTTGAATTACAATAAAAAAGCTGAAAATCATATGCAGATACTTTAAGTTGCAGATACTGCGTAATTTTCATAATGAATAGTGTAAAACGTTTAAATATTGTTAGAAGCCTAGAAACAAGTCGGTTTTAAAAATCTGGAGGCCCCTATGTTACTAATTATTATGAGGTCCTTAAATATAAATTTTGTACAAGCTTACCAATATTTAAATTTAAATAAATAACGTAATTATATTTAATGGAAGTCGTACAATTCAAAAGATAAAATACCAAAATAAAATATTTCTCAGAACTCGAGAGATTATGCTCAAAATTATCACGTTGAAGGAGGAAATATTATCAGTGTGTAAATAATAATTTTCAAAAATTATTATTTGAAAAAACTCGAGTAAGATGCATTTTAGCAAATTCTAAAAAGTTTAATGACTACAGCGAAAATCATGAAAAAATTATTTTGGATAGGCTTGAACTAAGTTAGAGCCGACCAAAAAAAAATTATGCTTAAATGAATTTTAAAGGAATTAATCCATTTGTTTAGAAATCATTAATTTAATTTGGACTTTAACTATGTAGTGTTTTTATTTGAGGTCTAGATGTATGTGGCTTTGGCATAAGACGGACCTACATAGAAATAATTTATTATGTATTTATTTCATTAGAAAAACTTACACCTCATGTAATTTTCGTAAAATAAGTAGTGTTGAAATTTAAATAAAAGACTTTTATATGGTGTAGAAGATGGAGTAGGTTAATTAGCAGTTAATTGTTACACCTTAATCAAAGGATTAAATTAGTATGTGAATGCCAGTATATGCCAAGCACATACCTATTATTGGTGGTGGTGGTGAAATTGTTTATTTCTTTGTGTTATTCCTACAACTTTACCGTGGCATACAAAATTGTATCTTTTATGAGAGTTTCCTGAATTGTAGTCCTATAAACTTGGGATGCCCTAGCACAACCACCATAAAATTAAATCGATCACGATAGCCAGTACACTAAAGGTGCACGCTTTTCGATCCTCTCATAAACAGGCGACGAGGTCAGCATCCAAGAGAGTTATCGATCGACAAGAGGGAATGCATATTTAACTTTCTAT